CTCCTGGGCGCCCCCCCCCCCCGAAGCGGCTCCTGGGTTGCGGACCTCCAGGTGGGTCCCGGAGGTCTCCGATTATTGCAGCTAATCTCCAGACGACAGAACTCAGTTCCCCTGGAGAAAAAGGCTGCTTTGGAGGTAGGGTTGCCAGGTGGTAAACAGGATGGAAAACAACAACGGATCTAGCGTAGAGGATATGCAAGTAAAACCCAAAAACACCAGAACAGGCTGTATGAAACCCGTCTGCTGTCTGTCTATCAGTGCTCATAGAGCGATAGCCTTGAGCAGTATAAACCCGAACGTCAAGTGTAAATGATTGCTGCGAAGTGGTATTTACAATTCCGACTTGGTGCACTTTTAATAATAATAATCTGACTGTACAAATTTCACGCTTTAAAATTCTTTAAAATTCTTTTTTTTATTATGTCGACGCATAATATTACAAAACGTCACAACAGTCATTTGGACTTGATGTGCGGGTTCTATACAGCCTGTTGTTTTGGTTTTGAATTGTATAACCTCCAGGTGATGGCCGGAGATATTGTGGGATAATTTACAACTGATCTCTGGGTGACAGAGATCAGTTCACCTGGAGAAAATGGCCACTTTGGAAGTTGGACTCTACGGCATTATGTTAAAGTCCCTCCTCTCCCCAAAGCTGCCCTACCGAGGATCCACCCACAAATCTCCAGGTATTTCCTGACCTGGAGCTGGCAACCCTTTTTGGAAGGGAGGACTCTATGGTATTGTATACCAATGAGGTCCCTCCCCTTCCCAAACCCCACCCACCCTGGGCTCCACCCCTGAAACCGCCAGGTATTTCCCATCCCAGAGCTGGCAACCATGCTTAGGAGGGCTGCTGGGTTGCTATGGCGCCAATGCTCATGGGCAGTGTCCCTGAGAGGGGACAGTAGTCATCCTTGGGGACTACTGACATGGACTACTGACATGGGGAGGAGACAGTGTAAGGGCTGATGGGTGTTTGTCCTTTCTCCTTTTTGCAACTTCTGTGAGGCATCCTTTAGATTCTGAGTTAAAGTGTCTTTTTTAAAAATGCAGTTGTAAGGAATAGTGCAAATGATGGATAAGCCCCTTTCAATCCCATTGATTTCACTGAGAGAGATTTAAGTGTATGCTTAACACTCTCATGTAGAAAAATGAGATTTAGCTGGATTGTTCCCATGTCATATTGAAGGCTAACAAAAGATATTCCTTGAATAGAACTGTGTTGCTCTTAAAGGGTCCACTGGACTCAAAACTTTGTTGTACTGCTTCAGACCAACATGGCTACCCACCTGAATCTAAAAGACACGCTTCTATTTATTCACGTTTTCAAGTTGGTGATTCATATCTTTACATTTTAGTTGCATTACTGTCTTTTTTCCATTAAGTACCGAAATTTGACGTTCTTAAAGCTCATTTGTTGCTTTTTATTTATATCCTGTTTTTCTCCCCAATGGGGGGGAAATGGCTGACAACATCATTATCTTCTCCAGCAACAATCCCATGAAGTAGGTTAGTCTGAGAAAGTGAGCTGCAGACCCAAGATCACCCAGTGAGCTACCATGGCAGAACTACAATTTGAACTCAGTTCTCCTAGGCTGTGGTCACATACACTTAATAATCCCCTTTCAGTGCTCTTTCCAACTGGATTTTACTGTGTGAACTGGCAAAATCCAGTTGGAAAGTGGTTTGGAAGTGGATTATTTAGTGTGTGTGACCCTTATCCTGCATTCTTACCTTTATGCCATGCTGTAAAATCTAGGGTAGCAGTTTTCAAATTTTCTTCAAAGAGTTCTATTAACTGCACAAGAAAACAAGTGCTAGATTTCTGAAAGGTAAGCAGATCCAAAACCAATAGCAGATGGAAAATAATGAAGGGAATCCAAACTTTTTATATTCCAACCAGGTAAAATCCAGATAAAATCCAATAAAGTCTAACAGGTAGGTGGAAAAATCCATCAAAAAAATGTGGAAAATACAGCCAGTGTTTTCCAGATTTATAATCCATGCAGTCTTTATGCCACTGTCATGGAGAGAGACAGCTCCAAATTTATAATCAAAAGGTAGGTATGAGAGTGTTTTCCAGCTTTATAGTCCAACCAAAGTGGCGGATTTATAATCCAACCAAGGTGGGTAGCAAAATAGCTTTTAACTTCTAATTGTACTTCTAGTTACCGTCCACCTTACATTCTGCAGTCTTCCTTTCCCCTCACCAAAAAACCCCCCAAATCCAGTTCATATGTCAATTTTTGATTGTTTCTATCTTATTTACTCCCTTTAAGTACAGCTTTTCTCTGTCTCAGGGAGATACTCAAAAGTGAAAGTAAAATGCACCTAACAAGCAAAAGAGGAGGGAGGTGAGCAGGCTTTAGAAACTGTCTCTCATCTTCGTTCCCTCTCGAAAAATTCCTTGTCTAAAAATATTTATAGTCAGATAGCCAAGTAGGGAGGGTAAACCTTTACATCTTTAACTCACAGTTTATGAAGTTTGCAGGCAGATTCTCTTTGCTGTTTTTCTACAATGTACCATGTAAACAGCTGAGTGCCAAGATGGCGCTGTGCCCACTGGGATATCGGGGCTTATCTCCGGGTCTCAACCCCCAGTCTAGCTGAGAGAAGTGACCCAAGAAGTGTACCCCACTGTTTACAGAGACCCCCTCCAGGGGCCTCCTTGGGTCTAGACTCCTCTGGACCCCCCAAAAAGTGGGTCAGTTCAGAACGTCCCAGGAACTCCTTGGGACGTTACTGACCTTGCTGCTGCATCAATTGGAAGAGTTCTATTAATTGCACAAGAAAACAACTACTTCTTTGCACCCCCTCTACAGTTTTCTGTAGAGGAAGATCCCCACAGCAGCAGAATATATATATTTACAGAAGAATGTTGGCATATGCACTTTCCCCATATGAAGAGCACCAGGCGTGGATAAGTTACAGCTGCCAAAAGTCTCCTTCTTTGCAACTGTTACACTTCTAGCATTGTCTGGTTTGTGAGCTGACTGTTTTTGTGTAGGACTGCCCACAGCAATCTTGTAGCTGCTTCGGTTAAAAACATCATGTCATTAGCAATAAGGCCAGCATGGTTATCCTCCAATGGTGCATGAGGAGCCATTAATGAGTTAAAGGAGAATGGTGGATTGGTAGGCAATCAACGTCTTTATAAACGTGACCCGTGAATGGTTTTGGGAGCGGAATTTCTCTGAACGTTGTCATTATCTGTAGCATTCTGTGATCCTACATTCTAATATGTATGCATTATCAAAAACCATTTAGGTAGAATTGTAATGCCAGTGAAAAATCTCAAATTTAAAATGATAAACCTGAAAGCATTAAAATCCCAGTAGAACCACAGGTGCAAATCGTAAGCCAAGATGCCTTCCAGATCCCAAACATATATATTTTTTAATATTTTAAAGGTAATTAGATCAACCGGTTTCATGAAAGGACTGTACACCGAATCAGAGATGAAATCTGACAACGTTAAGGTATGTCTGGAGTGTCATTCTTTAATATTTATCCAAAGAAGTAGCGGGAATGCATATGTACAGTAGACATTCATGCTGAGGCAAGGGGATGACATTTTCCTCGGTGGAGCTCCTGTTGTGAAAGAGGAAGGGGCCTCTTCACTCCACCCTCACTGCAGCCCCCACCCGTGAAGGGTGGGGCAGAAGGAACTGCAAAAATGGAGGAATGCAGAGAAACCAGGCTTTCTCTGCCTAGAGTGGTAGGATACTTGCCAATAGGTAGATTCAAGTGAAATATACCAAATTACAGTTCATACTAACCAGGCTTTCTCTGCCTAGAGTGGTAGGATACTTACCAATAGGTAGATTCAAGTGAAATATACCAAACTACAGTTCACACTAACCAGGCTTTCTCTGCCTAGAGTGGTAGGATACTTGCCAATAGGTAGATTCAAGTGAAATATACCAAATTACAGTTCACACTAACCAGGCTTTCTCTGCCTAGAGTGGTAGGATACTTGCCAATAGGTAGATTCAAGTGAAATATACCAAATTACAGTTCATACTAACCAGGCTTTCTCTGCCTAGAGTGGTAGGACACTTGCCAATAGGTAGATTCAAGTGAAATATACCAAACTACAGTTCACACTAACCAGCTTCCTACAGCAGTCTGTGGAGTCAAAGCACTGGCTGCAACTCTGGGTTGCCAGTTCACAATTCGCGTTAACCATAGGAAAAGCACACACACACACACACACACACAAAAAACCTTTATTGGCATTGAAAGCACAAGACATCATGGGAAGACAGCAAAATAGTAAGATGCGTCACTTACACTTGGCTAGTCAAGCCTCGCCTTCTGATTGCATAATGTAAAATTTTTGCAAAACCCTCCATTATTTCGCAATTAGAATTAAACAGAAGAAAGTGAACAATTGAGTAATCAGAATGCCAGCTCTTACCCTCTAGAAGTGGAGTAATAAAATGAGATCGAATATCCCTATAAAGGGGGCAGTGAAGTATGGCGTGTGTAGTGGATTCTATATCTTTTAGGTAACAAGGACAAAGTCTCTCTTCATATGGTATCTGGCGGTACCTCCCTAAAAGCACCTCTGATGGCAGAACATTAAAGCGTGCAAGCATGTATGCTCTGCGATGGTGTGGGGCTGTTAAACTTAACAGATATTTCGCAGTAAAGCCCGTGTAAAAAATCCCCAGCCTACTTGGGGAGCATCTGCTGGCTGCGCGTTCCCTAAGTTCTTGCCTTTCGATGTCGAGAACTCTTTGTTTAATAATAGCATAGGCTTGTTTATCTGAAAAGGGGGCTAAAAAATCTGGGGATATTCCCATTGTAGAGAGTTTCTCCTCTACATATCTAAGCCATGGAGAGAGATGGGACTCAGTTAACATGTGAGTAATAATACCTTTAGCTTTTAGCTTTTGCATGGAAATCATAGGAAAAGCCATTGTTATCATGTGTAGCTAGGCACATATGACAATGTGAATAAAGGTCCTTCTCATTTAGTGGAGCCGGAATTCACAAAACTGATCTCAGAAGTTAAGCGTAAAGATAACTACCTCTCTCTTTCCAAATTGTGGTGATGCTGGGTCAGGTGAATATTGGATGAAGCAAAATCATCCTATTGGATGAAGCGAAATATCCTGGGAAACAGTGGTGTTACAAGCATCCCAGAATCTGCTAACTCTACAAATGCCGGTTCAAAGGAAAGGCCTGCACAACAGTGCTGTGGCTGAGAGGCAGATAGGCAAGATACGCTATGACAATTATGGAGGTGGGCAGCTTGGCATCCCTGAGATGAGCAAAGTAAGGATAGAGAAGGCAGCTTACAGGATAGTGAGGGTCGTTTACAGCCTAAAGGGAAAACATGCTGGCTCTATGATGTGTTAACTTTTTTTGATTGGATGGTCCATATAATGGTGGGCTTGACCCGAGGACCTGGCACTCACATTGGCCAGGGCCTTAGGAGTCCATGTGGGGAGGAGTATGAAAGAGTAGCTGTTCCTTTGTTGGTCAAGAGAGAGATGAGAGGGGAGTGAGGGAAGTGTGCTGGCTGTTGCTTGTGCTGTAATGACGGATGACAGAGCAGAATGATGCTGGCGGATGCGTGAAGGTATGGCCCGGGAGACAGCAGCAGGACCAGATGGGCAAAGATTTTAAGTAACTAGATAGTCACCTTGTTTTCTCCTTTTTATTTTGCTTTGCTGTATCTAGAACTGTTCAAACTGCGGCAGAACCCAAGTTTGTTTGCCTTTGATTTTCATTGGGGTTGTGGCCAGGGGGGAGTTCTTGTCCAGCAGCTAAAGGTAACCCTTGGTGATCCTAATGGCTCGTGGAGGGCAATGAGCAAGCCATGTGGGGAAGACCCCCCCCCCCAAGGTTTTCAAACTAATATTTTTTCTGCAAACCTGGAGAACCAGGGGTGGGGTGTGTGTGTGAACCCAGTATCTTGTCAGTGGTTTAACTTCATTTTCCTGCTGCTGTTAGAAAGAGTGAAAGTAAGACAACTGTAACTCATGTTTAAATCTGGAGAATTTTCTTTAACAACGTGCTGTTTGCAGACAAAGAGGCAAAAATTGCCTTCCTTCAGAAAGCCATAGATGTTGTTGTCATGGTGACCGGGGAATCCTTGGCAGTGAAGCCCGCACGCGTCGTTGCTGGGCATGAACCCGAAAGGACCAATGAACTGCTGCAAGCAATTGCCAAGTGCTGTCTCAGTAAGGTACGAGACCCCCATTTGGCCCTGGCTTTTTCAAAGCTTCTGTTGCAAACACTGGACTGAGTCCTATTTGGGGGGGGGGGTTGTGAGGGAGAAGAAGAAGTAGGAGCCTCAGAGTGAAGTCTCCTCCCTCTTACCTGCTCCTTAACTGGACACTTGTAATACAGGTGAACCTTTTAAGGTTGTTCGTAGGTACCACTTTAACCTGCCCCCTGTCTTAAGCTTTCCATCCTTTCTACTCCTGGAGAAAACTCTGCGCAGTTCCAGTCGTAGTTGAGCCCAGTTTTGTGGTGTCAACCACCGGTCCCAGCCCAGTTGTATGGTGGGGAATACATGAAGATGTGCTGTTGTTGTTGTTCAGTCTCACAGTCGAATCCGACTCTTCGCGACCCCGTGGACCAGCTCCCACCAGGCCCTCCTGTCTTCCGCCGTCCTTTGAAGTTTGCTCAGTTTCATGTTCGTTGCATCTATGACACTGTCTAACCATCTCATCCTTTGCCGTCCCCGTCTTCTTTGACCTTCAATCTTTCCCAGCATCAGGGTCTTCTCCAGTGAGTGCTCCCTTCTCATTTGGTGGCCAAAGTATTTGAGCTTCAGTTTCATTATCTGGCCTTCCAGGGAACAGTCAGGGTTGATTTCTTTGATATGGTGGGGAATACATGAAGATGTGCTGGAGGCACCTATAACCCCCCCCCCAATTCCCCTTCCCACATGTTTTCTTTTTTCCTCATACTGGCAGGCTCATATTCTCATCTTTCCTTCCTTCCCTTTCTCCTTCCCACCTAGCAACCAAACCTACCTTGTATTTGCTCCTATCTTCAGATATATTTAATATTGATTTACTTCATTTATACCACCTTTCTCCACAATGGGGACCCAGTGCAGCTTATATCATTCTTCTTTCCTCCATTTCTATCCTCACAGAAATCAATTTTGTTAAACTGTAAAACAAATTAAATTGCGGTGGCTCAAGTGGATAAGATGCTGAACTGCAGGCTGTGGAAGGTCGGTAGTTCAGCAGTTCGAGACCCGGGTGCCGCATGATGGAGTGAGCTCCCATCTCTAGTTCCAGCTCCTGCCAACCTAGCAGTTCGAAAGCAAGAAATTGCAAGTAGATAAATAGGTACCACTTCAGTGGGAAGGTAACAGCGTTCTGTGCGCCTTGGTGTTTAGTCATGCCGGCCACATGACCACGGAAACGTCTTCGGACAGCGCTGGCTCTTCGGCTTTGAAACGGAGATGAGCACCGCAACCCTAGAGTCGGATTCGACTGGCCTTCGAGCAAGGGAACCTTTACCTTTAAAACAAATTATATCTCTCTCTTTATCCTTTCTGCCTCCCTTATTTTTGTTATGTTCTTTTGTTCTGTTGCTATATGCATTTACACTTCAGATTGTTGCTTGTATTAAAGTACTTTTGGATTCTCCCTTTCTTTGTATTGTGCCTGTATATTAATAAGTGAAAACTGATGTTTGGTACTTTACATTTCAAATGGTGGATCAATTGAAATGGGAAAAGAACACCACCTGCTTGATTAGCAAAATCATAGGGTGAAAATATTGGAATGGCAAGAAAATATATTTGACAAACTAGCAGCCCAAATCTTTTATATGTTCACAGAAATAAGGGACTTTTCCTTACTGTGATAATTAGGGTTATGCAGGCCAGAAAGGCATATGGAGTTATATGCCAGTTCTTGGCTTTTAAAGAATTGCAGAGGTTACTTAAACAGCGATTACTATGGTCAGCTAAAATTTTACGAGTCAGTTTGACTATCTTTTTTTCTTTTTGTAGCTATCCAGTGACGATGCTGTGCAGAAAGTTCTTGCTGGAGAGAAAGTGGACGTCAAAGGAAAGCCCACGTCTTCTTCTAAGTCCCAGAACAAAGAAAGCAAGGAGTCTAAGGCAGAAGAACACAGATCTCATAAAGAGGTGCTGTGAACTGCCTTTATGCTGAAGTGACTATAAAATCTCTTTTATTTGTGTCTTTACTCAAAGCATTCTTAGCGGTTTTTTCCTCACCTGATAAAGAGTCCCCGTGTCGGCAAACATAAAAAAACCCTTTGAACAATCAAAAACACCATTTAAAATAATAAAATAGTTCAGTAAAAACACATAAACAATACCAGAACTGGGGAGAAGGGTCAGCATTCATTATTGGGGGTATGCCAAACGGAATAAAAAAGTTTTCACTCACTGCTGGAAAACACCAATAGAGGGAGGCAGGTGAATTTACCTGAGGAGGGAGTTCCGGAGTTTTGGTGCCATGACCAAGAAGGCTCTTTCTCACGTTGCCACCCACCTAGCCTCAGCGGGGTCACTGAAGCTGGGCCTCTGAAGATGACCACAGTGAATTAGTAGGTTCATATGGGAGAAGGCCGTCCTTACGGTATGTTGGTCCCAGCCTATGCAGGGGTATTAAATACTACTACCTGACTTTCATGGGCACTTTTCAGATGATTGAACACAGAGTCCCTGACATTGAAACACAAAGGCTATACAGCTTAGCCAACAAATCTTGCTCCCCTCTGAACGTTGAGATCCCCCTCACGGTAAGCCGAGTGGCCCCGTACTTGTCTGATATACAAGCACCACGACAGCGCAGAGCTTTTTCTCTCGCAAGATTCAACGTAATGCCATCAGCAATCCTGCACGGGAGATACAATAACATAGTATACACGGCCAGACTTTGCCATTGTAACTCTGGATGCATTGAGACAGTTTGCAGATATCTGTTTGCATTGCCAATTTTAGGTAGACATATGTTTTAGATATTTAAACCCTGTTTTAGCCAACATGATGGACCATCCTGATGCTTTAAAAGTATACCGTCTTTTGAATGACTCTGCTCCTGAAATATCAAGGAAGGTAGCCATGTTTCTACAATCAGCTATGAAACTATGACAGGAAAAACTGAGTAATACTGTGTAACAAATTGTTTTATGCAACATTATGTAATATGCTTGGCTCTATATGAGCTGCGTGGCTCAAGTGGTTAAGACGCTGAACTGCAGGCTGTGGAAGGTCGGTAGTTCAGCAGTTCGAGGCCCAGGGGGCCGCATGACGGAGTGAGCTCCCGTCTCTAGTTCCAGCTCCTGCCAACCTAGCAGTTCGAAAGCAAGAAATTGCAAGTAGATAAATAGGTACCACTTCGGTGGGAAGGTAACAGCGTTCCGTGCGCCTCAGTGTTTAGTCATGCCGGCCACATGACCACGGAAACACCTTCGGACAGCGCTGGCTCTTCAGCTTGGAAACGGAGATGAGCACTGCAACCCTAGAGTCGGACTCGACTGGCTTTTGAGCAAGGGAAACCTTTACCTTTTACTATATGTATAGTTTTATATGATTTTATATGTATAATCCTCTTTTTCATAGTAACCCTCTTTTAAGGTGTTTTATGTCAATAAAGGCTGACTGACTGACTGGCACTACTTGCATGAACAGTAAGGTAGAAGATTGTAATGCAATTTAATACTTTTATCTCTCTTTTTCTTCTTTTTTTTAAGGGAGGAGGTCACTCTGAAATAAAAGATAAAGGCACAAGTCAAGACCAGAAACCCAAGGAAGAGCCGAAAGAGGCCGAAAGTAAGCGAAAAGAAAAAGAAAGTGACAAGTCTAAAGATTATGAGAACAAGCAGAAAAATCACGATAAAGACGCTTCTAAGGAAGGTGAAAAGCACGACAGGGAAAGACCCAAGAACAGAGTGTCCAAACAGGGAAGAGAAGCAGAGAAAAGCAAAGACAAAGAAAAAGGAGAAGGGGAGCAAGAGAAAGATCCGGAACACGCTAAAGGAAGGGACAAAGAAAGGAGGCCAGAGGGGGGAAGAGAAAAGGACAGACCGAGAGAAAAAGACAAAGAGAGAGGCAGAGAGAAGGAGAAGGAACATGAGAAGG